GATGCGATCGATGCATGTATCGAGCACGAAACGTGAAGGGGTTTGTCATTGTTTTCCCAGAGTAAGAGTGAGAAGGAGGATGTCAAACTGCCAGCACTAGCGTCACCGTTACCAAGGAAGGTACAGTATTAACACATTAGAACAATCAACCCCTCTCATAAAGTGTACCCTCGTCTCGATCAGGCTAAAGATGCTCCGATGTCCACCAAACCTGCGGCTGCTCTCAAGGGCGTTAATGCTGTAAAAGCCCCACCACCAAGATCTTCATCGAAAAGTACCACCCGGGTTCCTCCTACGAAACTATCAGTGCCTGTCAAAACCCCTTCAGCGCCCCAAGTAGCTACATGTGCTACACAACAACAAATTGTAAGTACCCGTTGGCATCAAAAGGACCAAGCTGTCGGCTTAAAGCGCTTGAGAACCAGTTCGACATCAGCAGACCACCGGACACCACTAGCCCGACCGAAAACAGAAGAGCGCGAAGTCGAGACGTAGCTTCTAGAGGATCTCGCAGATAACGAGTGGGCAGACGTTGAGCGAGGTCTCGCGCAATCTAACATGCAAGTGTGCTTTTCAATGAATCCGTTATCGGTGGTGGTATCTAACGGTTGCGAGTGGAAGTTAACTGACTTCACGACAGAAATCTTGGAGTGCTGTCAGCAGAATGGCATCAGCTTCGAAGACAATAACCTCTTTCTCGAGCTAAAGGACCAGGCGTATCTCAAAGGAGTTCCTGTGCGGCAAGACCGGTCACTGTGACAACTGATGAAGAGAGGATATATCCCCTTCACGACCAGTGATACAGTGACATTGGTATGGGTACAACCCGCGTACACGGGCATGTTGGTACACGAACTTGTATCTGAATGAGCTAGAGTACCGCAACAGAAATTACGTATCTCCAACTCAGCTACGTCAAATCGTTGGGCAGTGGGGAGCCACGGATTGTTTGGTTGTGTCGCATCCATGTACATGAACGAGTAGCAAAGATGGTCTCCGGCGGCATGCATGCGATACGCTGCAAGGACATCGCCGCTGCTGTACTCATTTCGTTTCTTCTTTCCAAGTCTAGGTGAAGCCAACTCAGTGTACGCTAACTACCTTCAGGCGGCAAAACACCGCACGCGCAGAAGGGGGAATCCTGCAGACACTATTACCCTCAGCCTGGTGCGTAACACAGACTGGGACCCAGCACAAAAAGTCTTAATTCGTTTGACAAAAGCCGTTCGTGAGGCACAATACTCGAAAGGTGTCATCGTTTATGGCGTTACGAGTGAGGTGAAAACGTTATTTATCAAGGAGGCTTTTCAACGTGCTGGATACACGCCGGAATCTGTCGAAGTACGAAGAGGCCTAAGCAAGTCTGCGGTGGTAATGTTTAGCTCAGCCGATGAAGTCCACGAGGTACTCCGCCAGTTCGGGCCAGAAGCTGTAGAACGATTAGCAGTCGGTGACATACCACTACGGATTCGAGCAAGAAGTGGGAATGGCTGCTGGGAATGCCATCAAACCGGTCATGTCCGCCGCATTGCCCCCAGCTAACATCAACGCAGCAACACCGAGACGCACGTGGATCAAACGCACACCAGACTCCAAACACTAGTCAACTTACGGTACCTCACAACATGAACAACGCTGAGCGGCTTGTGGAGCGTGCCATTGAGGCCAAGATGGCCACTGTACACACATCACAAGCAAACATGACGCGTTATTGCAAGGCAGCCGAACAACGTTGTCAGACTCTCGAAAACCGATTTGATGGGATGGATGAGATCTGGAGCGCAAGGATGGTGCAAATTGTCGAGTTCGCTCTAGCGAAGCAGACTGCTGCCGCAACACTCCCGGGTCAGCAGCGCAGTGGAGATCAAGACGACGCAATGGGCGATTCACGGAACGAGCCAAACATTGGCCATGCACCGAGTCCGTATTTTGCGTAAGGAGGCCACATACGCCAGGTGTGGTCTCCAAAACAAGCAAAATGAGCTTTAAGTGGCAATTTCTGTGGATGATAGCACTGTTTCTGACACTGACATGTCAGGTAACAAACAAAGGGCAGCTGTGGTTAGCGACGACAACCTTCAGACCCAATCAGGAGCGACGCTGGTAAGGCCCGAGACCTACAGCGAGACAACCTGGATATGAACTCCCTGAGTGGATCCGACGAATCCGTGCTAGAGGATCAAAGATGTGCAGCTATGGATACCACTACACGGAGAGCGGAGCGAGGGGGTCGATACCATCGCCGGTGGCGACCAACTCGGTGTGTTATTCCAAGCTCGCGTGCACCTGACCGAAGCACGATCCTTCAGTCCATTCTTCAGCGGGAGCACTATACATCGGCGATGACGTTCCATCACCGATCGACGCGGAGCACAATATTCGGATTTGTACGGTGAACATTATTAAAAACTTACGGCATAACATGGAGGAGGAGTTAGCTGGATGGATACTGGCGAATGGCATTGACATAGCAATTGTAAGTGATACCGGACTCCGCCCGCAACGCTCTGAGCAAATCTGGGTAGCGACTGCCGATACGCAACGACCAATACCAGGCCTTCTTCTAATCGGCACCAAACGGATTGCAATTGTGTTCAACAAGGAGCGATGGGAAAACAGAGTGATCAAACATAGCGTATGTTACTCGCCCACAAGGAGATCTATGTGCGTTGCCGTACGCCTAGCCAAAGCGCGAGAGTTATGGATGATTGGCACGTACATTCACCACTCCCCAGAACGGCATCTCGATGAAGTACGCGATGGATGGGCATGGATTCACGAGCGGGTGGTAGAGGGCCGGGCCCGGTGTGTTATGGTAGTGGTGGCGGGAGACTTTAACACCTACACGGACGACGTGTTAGATAGATCAGGGACCACAGCTCGTTCCGCGAGCTCGCAGGCGGTGAGCCGGCAATTTGCAGCATGGACGGACTCTCTCGGATTAGTCTCTACATTTCGATGTAGACATCCGACAACGCCTCGGTATACGTACTCCAGACAAGGTACTCGGTCCACGCTGGATGACATTTACATCTCCGGAGAGCACGAGACAGCGATTACAGCTAGCGCTATATGGATTAACAGCGTTACAACGAGTGACCACGCGGGTGTGCCAATGGTAGTCATGCGGACAGATCGTGGGGCGCGGATTGCTTTTACCCTTCAACATATAACCCCCATCAAGGTTGTTAATACACGGCAGAAAACGAAGGAGGAGATGCAGGAGTTTACAGAGCACATACGGACAATGTTACCCTCTGGCGAAATCTGTCTTATTGATGATATCGAGGCTGCCACCAGCACACCTGAAGAGATACTAGTGTGGCTTGAGCAAGCGATTGACAACCTATACACCTGTCTCTATCTGAGTGCCAGGAGCCTTTGGGGAGAAAGCAATCAGTCCAAACGGCAACTGGCGCGAGCTGTGTGTATCAAGAGGAGTAACCGTTGCACAGCCCAGCTGCGTCAAGCGCGTATCGTCCTAGCCCAAGCAGATATTACTATTGACGACATTCAGGTGGCCGCTGGGGCGATATGCTGGCCGAGGTGGGTTGCGTTCCCCGATACGATGGTCGAAGGGAGCTGCCATCAGAAAGTAGCGCGCAAGTTGAACGCGATAATTGCCGAACCACCCGAATCCTTGAAGATATCCGACTGGGTCGAGCACCGGTATCTATCCGCAGTGCCATAATACCGGGCAATTCTGGGCCGAGTTACCTTGAAGACAGGGCGGAGGTGCAAAGGCAGCTAACGGTCTTACTAGACAATTGGATACCCGTGGATGAAAGGACAACCAGGCCACGGTACTTAGATACTCTGAATCCGGACGATATTCATACACTTCCCCAATTTGCACAGGAATGGATTCTTCCTGATATTGTGCGAGGAGGACGATACGCCGCCGCGTGGCAGACTGCCGGCAAAACATGGCAGGACTACCACTACACGGCGGCGATGCAAGCAGAGATTGATAAACAGCTGAAGCAACATGTTACACCAGGGTACGGTGGAGTTTCCCAAGAGATATTAATTTCAGCTCCAGCACAAGTGAGGCAGCGACAACAGAAGATTATTGAGCTAATCCTACGTACCGGACTAGCTCCGAAGATACTACGCCGGAAACGAATGGTATACCTGCCGAAAACGACGAATGTGGACCCAACATTAGATGTGTCTAAGGGTTTACCACCATGGCGGCCGATCACGGTCCAAGCTGCCTTCGCCAACCGACTCTTTCTTGTAATAAAGCAGTTCGTCGATGGTGGTATACCACGCAGTCTTCTGCAACACGGATTCCGGTCGGACAGGTCTGTCATAGACGCCGCACTAATGACAACGCTGCTAATTGAACGAGCTAAGGAATTGAAGAAGCTACTCCTACTAGTATCTAAAGATTGTCTCAAGTGCTATGACCGTATCCCCGCGTGAGTTATGGAGCTTATATATCTCGGACTAGAAGTTCCGGACACAACTGATGATCGATCTGCTGGGACCAGGTGAAATTGAAGTGAGAACATCATTCGGATGGATTGCCACAGGGGAGCGTGAATTCGGCATCGGTCAGGGCTCGATCCTCGCTTATTTCCACATCGGAGTGTACATGGATTGCCTACAAGAGCAGCTCGAGAAATCCGTAGACCCTGTCGTGATCAGACTTAGTCAGAAAGGCCACGGGATTAACATTGCCAGCACCATGTTTGTGGACGACCAACTGGACGTGACAACATCATATAATGGGCTGGTGGATCGTGCGAGGGTCACCAATATGTTTACTGGTAAATATGCCACAGGAGGTGTTTTCGGCTCAGCGAAGTCATTCCAGATGTATCTCGCTAGGTCCACGGAGCATTACCCAGCGGTGCACTTAAATGACGGCCACGGAATACCACAACCAGTGCAAATTGTGTCACCAAAGCAAGGCTTTAAACATCTTGGTATATATAAAGGCGGAGAGGACTAGTGGGCGGCGTCGCTCGAAACAACATGGCAACGAATAGTGTCGGACGCTGATCGAGTACAACGTCTAGGGCTTTCGCTACCAGAATTCTGTTACGTGGTGAACCATATATGTATCCCTCGATTGAGCTACCGCATGGTTCTTGGCGGGTCCGTAGACGTAGCAGCAAAGGTGGATATAATCATCCGTCAAGTGGCTAGATCAGTGCTACGACTGCCGTTCAACGTGAATACAGCTGTGTTCTATGATAAAGAGAATGGCCTGGGTCTGGAAAGCTGCGAGGCTGACGCGAATACGTACCGCTTAGTGGAGGCGCTACGTATCTTAAACTCACCGTCTCTAAACACTCTGTCAGAACATGACGGACCGAGAGAGACGGTGAGTTTGCACTCTGTCAGAACATGACGGACCGAGAGAGGCATACCAAACCCGAGCTGGATTGACACGGCACCCGCTAGCTTACCCCATCGCTCCACCGAGAGGTGCTCGGTCTTGGACTGCTCAGCTGATCCGCCACGCGGCGTCGGTTGATCCACCGCTCACCATGGCAGTGGAGTGAACACAGCCACTCCAAACCCGTTCTAGCCGTAGCAATGATCGGCCTCTCATCGACTACACTCCCCCGGAGCAGCAGTGTTCTCTCGTCGCCATCAACTGGAAGACGGCCTTCAAATTGCGCTACGTCGGCGATATCTCTAACGTTTCCGGCACACAAATCATGAAGCTACCGGAACTGATGAGAAAGGGTCACTGGTCGGGTAACGATCGCATCACTCTGGAGAGCATGTACGATCACTGGGTAGAGGTCTTAACGAGGCCAGATACCAACCGTCTCCGTAGTCCAGTCGGTTGTACTCCAGTAGAACTTGGTTCGACTCCATTCCAACTACGCATTGGGGTGGATCAGTGGATAGTTGTGGTGAAGATAAATACTAACGGTACGGAACCAGTAATTGACCACTACAAAATCGGCTACAGAGAAATCGGTGACGTGGGTAGTCATCCCCTCGGCCGTACAATTCCGATCCGATGGTGGTATGAACGCCCCCGCGGAAGTGGTGTGTTCTACGAGCGCCGACATCGGGTCGTGGAAGCTGAATTTGAGGCAGTCTGTGTACCTATCTCACCGACCTACCTACCTACGATGCCATCGCGCCGACAGCGGGTTATCATCTGGGATTCAACTCGCGTCGACGGCAAGCACGGTGTCAATAATGATGAAGTACTGGACGAAGCCCTTGCTAGAAGCCGCATGCGCTATCTATCTGTTATCCACCACGGTCACACGTTGGAAATGTCGACAGCCCTGCTCGATATGCGGCCGTAACCGAGACGCACAATGTTGTCGTGAGTGCGGGCGGTGACACCACCCTCAATGTGTACGTGGGAGCTGTCGTGCGATAGGAACTGTAGACGAAGATGACCTCCTCATAGCGCGAAATCATGCTCTTCAATACCAATGGTCCAACAACAGCTTTGACGTATCCGTTTCAGCCGGAGACGGAAGCGTGTTAGCGGCGTGCACTCAGCACGCATCTGGTACCTGGGCCATGCAACAACCCGAGGGTCAATCAGTAACAGGTCGGATGGCAATTCACAAGAGCGATATTACGTCGACCCGATGCGAGGTACACGCGCTGATGGCCGGGTTGATAGCTACTGGGGACTGCGGTCAACAAGTATGTGACAACCAAAGCACGATACAGATCTTCAATAGGGCACGCAAAATTGCAAACGGCGACGCACAGCCCAAGTACCGGGATCCGCATCGAATCGAAATTCCTTTGTTGCAACGCCTTATGCACGAACACGGCACAATGGTACCGAAATGGGTTCGGTCTCACCAAGAACATGTGGCGACTGACGATATGAGCCTGTAACAAGAGCGATCGGTACTAGCGGTGGTTGATACTGCGGCTGGGGCGGCCCATGAACAGCGAATGACGACGTCGTATGCGAGTTGGGTTGACTTCGATGAGTACATGGTCTACGACGGTGAAAATCAATTAGTTTTCGGGAGCACAACAAAGTACTTGAGGGAGCGTTCGTATGCTAAATAGACGTCAGAAATGGATCGTAAAACAACACCGTCACACCGAAGACCGGCACACAATGGCATACGATGAAATCCGCATGATAACGACTGGAAATTGGTCAGAGGCACTGTGCCAATTCTACTGGCGTGCAAAGCTGATGGCGTTGCATACAAATGCAGTAAAAAAAAACACATTCGACAGCCGATGGTCCGCGGTATGCGTTAGCCGCAACTGCAGCGAGGCCGACACACAGCAGCACCGATTTGGGCTTACGCAGCCAACATGCAGCGAGGTATCTGACCTTACAAATATGCTCCGAACAATGTATGTGGAGGTGGAGCGTAAGCTTTGGCTTCCTGACCAGATACTATTACTTCCGTCATTAGTCCATACAATTGCCTTAAATCTACTACTCCCGACCAGAGCGATGTGGAATGATACGGGTGCTAAGACGACGATATGGAAACCTTTCGTACGGCTAACAGATGATGTGTGGGTCAACACACAGAGGATTGAATGGTTTGGCGCCCCACACGTCTTGAGTAGGAACCCAACGTTCATCAGAGTCATAAGAGAGGAACAGTCTCTGCGGAAACAGGCTCCAGGAGGCCGGCTACTGCCGACTCGACTGATCGACGCAGCTCGGCAAATCGACCCTGACATTGGGCTCTACGACGCGCTACCAGGGCAGATTACGCCTGGGTGGTCAGCGGTGACGTTTGCCTTGGACGCTAGCGTCGACGAGTTTGAACACCTGCACCCGCTCGTCGACCCGCAACAGGTACAGAGCTGGTGGATCGATGACATATACGTGCCTCACTGATCCGTGTGGTGGGATGAATGTCTTCTGTCACAAGGTGGACGCATTTACTGGGTCGCGGCTTTCACCAACTCGGTGGGTTTTGCAAAGTGTACCAGCGCTGGATGCTGCTGGCTCGTTAGGGTACCAGCGGGAGAACTCCACATGCGTACGGACTACTCCGTTATACAGACGGAACACCAGCAACCGTTTAAAACTATTTTCTCAAAGAACACGCTTGCAATTACGATCGGAATTGTATCGCCTCCTCCGCAGCTCCGTCGTATAGTCAGCAAGGCCCGACGCATCTGGGCCGGTACGGTGGGCCAGTTCGGTGCGTCAGAGTGGTTCATTCACCCCCAATCGGACGGAATTCAAAACCAAGGCCCTACTCTAGGGAAACACCCATACTTTGAGTGGTATACCCCACTATCGGATCCAGGTGCGTTTCCGCTATGGTGGGGCCGCGTGCGGCAACAATTGGATCGCCTCGACCTTGCGATCTACTCGGCCCCGATGGGGTGGAGGCGTTACCCTACAATGACCACCCGCAGCGTGACGTGGGCGGAAGCCATGTCGTATACAAAACGCGGTGCTCGACTCCTTCACAATCAGCTGTGTCTCGGAATATGGAAGACATTGCGTGAATATTGGAAGATCAGCTGCAAGCGCTGTAACACCGAAATTCGGCGCCGTCGACGTAAAACCTTGTACAAGGCGGTCAATGCTGGCATTGTGTCACGACGGAAAAAATGGGCCAAGAAGACTAAGGAGCGGGTGACGCATGCTATTAGCACGAGAATGCGAATCTTCGATCCCGGGGCAGACGGTGGGCCGACGACCGGAGACATCGATTAGCTGAGCATGGGAGTCGGCTTGGGACCTCTTAATTATCAAGTGAGACCTCATTTGGACGCGACACACGAACATGACAAATACCAACAGAACAACTACTGGCTTGGTGGAGTGGCGCTCGACCATGCCAAGCCCTTTAAAACCCTGGATAGACCTGCCAACACCGGTGGGAGCCTCTTCAGGGGCCATGCATATGTATATTCTCTTTTCTTTCGTAGCTACTGCAGGAACTAGGCTAGCACTTAGGGTCTGTTGGCGAGGATGCAGCGTAGCGCGCCTCGGGCGTAGTCGCCATAACCGCAACAAATTCAAATTCAATAATTCGAAAATTACAGGTGGCCCGAATACTTTATGTTCATACTGAAATGCAGTCAATAATGGACGAGGACGAGGACACATACGGCTTCGGGACCTTCGCCGACCTGTTCGACACGGCGCCGGCGCAGGCCGCCAAGCGACTGGATCTTGGTGCGCTAAGTCACTTCTGCATGCCCGAGCGTCTGTTGTCGTGCTTCGAGCAGCAGCAACGAAGGGACCAGAACATCATCCTGTACCAGCACGTGGCCGCCAAATTCGACGGTGCTCGAATCGACGGCGGCTTAGGCGCGTTGGGTGTGTCACCACTGGAAAATGGCGGCGTCGTGTGGCTACAGGCCACGCAGTCGGACTCGGACGCGCTGGAACGGCGCAAAAAGGAGCTACAGGACATCGCAAACCGCCAGGACAAAGCAGATCAC